TGTGATAAAGCACTGATTAGTCTCTTTAGAATGATTTGTTCAATTAGCTTTGTAGAGATCTAGTAGAGTGCTGTATGAATGGGTAAATGAGGACACAGATTGTAGTGTAAAGCGCTTTGAGTATCTTGAAATAAGATAGAAAGGCGCTATATAAGTACAGTCCATGTACCATTTATATTTTTGGATGGGGATCTTTTTTACGCCTAGTTGTAGTCACACACTAATATGGATGTTGGTATAATGCTTATTTTTCAAGTTATTCAACTCACCAGTTTTACTAATTCACCATTCACCACTTGAACTTGCTGAGGGCGGACGCATTTCCTCTCCTCCTCCGCTTTGCTTTGCTGCTCTGTCCTGCCTGTGAAACTGCTTCTGAGCCTCTCTCTACATATATTCGGAACGGTAATTTTGCTATGGATCTGGTCAGTTGGTCTCTCAACGCAATGCACAAAATTTTCTCAACGATGAGACAAGCTTCAGGCAAGTCGAACTGCCCTGATGACACGCACGCAGCTGGATATGTCTTTGATTACTGGGGGAAGTGGAATGTGATGTGTCTATCTCTGCTGGTGATCAAGGACGTTGAAGATGCATATATAATTGGCTTTATGATAACAGGTTTCCTGCATTTTGGAATCGGCTGGTTCCAGGGTTATCAACATACAAAGAAGACAGCTGCCCATCTTATGTGAAGGTTTGCTCCGTGTCTTGTGCACAAAGACTCTATTGCTTAGCGGACTGGATTGCAAACTGGATGTGATTTGTGAGAATCGCAGGCCATTTGAGGCCCCTAGGACTCGCTGGCTGGATGGCTCAGATCTTGGGGAATATTTTCAGGCACGGACCAGCAGTATGTCCACTTAATTTGGATGCTTTGGAATCTACGTGAATCTACTTGAGACCAGACTCAAGGCAGATAAAATTCAGTAAAGTTCTTCCAGTCTCCAAAACAAATGTTGTTTATCTGAATTTGGCTCCCTCAGCTGGCCTTGCAGGCCACCTTATCTCAATTCGCCTGGAGGCTTTGCAATCTAACGCTCTGGCCCCCTTCCCTCCCACCGAGGAAGTCCACAGACCAATCAGGGGAACCAGCTGATTAAACATTGTGTCATCATTTCAGGACTTTTGGATTCTCACTGGCGCTGTCCTTGGTAAACCTCGGCACTCCCCGAGAATGGTTACGTATCTCATCAGAGGGAACTGGCTGATTATTCCATTATATACAGTGCCTCCAGGAGCGTCCTTGAACACACTCAGGCAACAGTGTTGCCAGATCTCGCGATAGAAACAAGCAACCAGCTCCATGAAAACAAGTCCAACTGGCAACTCACCATATTGTGTAAAACAGAGGCCATTTTTATACTTTTTAAACAGTATAAACATACATTTATTATGGCATTACATATAAACAGCAAAATTATGCTTAACACTTTGAATAACATACTTTTACGCTCTAAAAAAAACCCCATTTTGCATATGTAATATTAATTCAACCATTATTTATACAAATTAATCCCATTAAGCCTCTGGGACTCATTTACCAGAGACCTGAATTTTAAATGAAGAGTGATGACAGCAGTGGACAGCGACAACAAGAGACAATCATAAAGGACGAGTACTAATTAAAAAAATAAAAAATTAAACAGCAAACTCATAGTAAAGACAGTCAACAAAAGACTTTCTTTAAACTCTGTTTACAAGCAAAGACACATGAGCCAACTCAAACAGGTCAAGTGTGAAACCATCTTCTTTCCTTGTCCTTCTTGCTTCACCGTCAGGTCTGATCATCTGTAACACAGAAATCACATATGGGAAAATTAGCATAAAGCCTGGTACAGATGAAAAAGATGTAAAAATAGTTTTTACCTGAACTACAATCCATCATCACTGTTTTCGTTTGCATCTGTCTCTGTGCTTCCAAGTGTTCCTTCTACAGAGTACATGTTACTGTTAAAGCGCTCCAGCATCTCCTTGGTTGGAATGAAATTGTTGCAGCACAAACTTTGCCTCCTCAGTCCATATTTTATGTGGAGTATGCTGCTGAGTGTGTCCTGCCCCACTCTGTTCCTCAGTTTGAATTTGACCAGGTTCATTTGTGAGAACACTCATTCCCCACTTACTGGAGCTCATTCTAGCGTTGTCTCGTCACTCTGGGCTCTGTGTTGCTCCCTCTTGTAACTCCCGACGGACGAGTTGATAACTGATGATGTCTTTATTTAGATGAACAATGTCTTTATTTAGTTTTATTGTTTTTACTGTTGAAAAAGATCAGCCTGTCGTGTGGCGCCAACCGCACCTGAACGTAACATCCGCCTGGACGTAACATCTGTGGAAGGGGGGCGTGAAGGGACAAACTACCTACCACTCATATTTTGCTTTCACTCGGACAGAAAAACAAGCCCAAAAAAGTGACTTAACGTTCAAAACAAGCCCAAAAAACGGCAACCTGCGACTCACAAAATTTATAAGCGACTTTAGAAAAAAACAAGCCCAAAGTCGCTAAGTGGACTTGGCAACTATCTCACTGGCCTTGTCGTCTCCCCCTCCCCTGCAGAATGTCTACATCACCATGTGCTTATGTAGGCGGGGTGTTTTTTCAATTTCATGCTATCTCCCATTGGCCATTGAGAGAGAGCATGCTAGGATTTTTTTTTTGTCTCCAAATCCTGTATGTTTTCACTTTCAAAACTTTTTTGTCTGTCTAAACAGGTCTCACTTGTAAAAGAGTCTTTGAGGCTCAATGTGATTTATCTGTGTACATAAAGGTTTGAATGAATAATGCAGTACATATATTCTGTGGCAGCCATCTTTGATTTTGATGTGACAATCCAATTTTCAATGGTGACCTTTCATGTGCCTGGATGCAGCTACAAACCAAAATGGAAGTTAGTACTTAACTTATTTTTCAAGTTATCATGTGCTCACAACATTTACAGATGGATAAACGGATGGATGGACAGATGGAGGATATTTCTAATTCTCCCTTTTTGCTCTGTTATTGAAGACCAAACCATTCACTACAGAATAGAAGTCCAGGGTTTTTTTTTTGGTTTTATTTTTGCAGAAACTTGCATTTATTATTTATAAGACAGCCTGAGCACAAATGTCCAAAACGTTAACGCTCACAAACGAGATAACCTAAAGTCATGTCTGTTTACTGCATCCCACAAACAGCAGATCCACTTAATATTTCCCAATTCCGACTCTAAAACTTTTTTCCAATCTCTTGTGCTCTCACAGCTTTATATCACAGTTTCCAGGTTCTGGAAACCCCATTTTTTTCTAGTAGGTTCCCGCAATTGCTCAATAATGAGCACTATTACCAGTTGATAAATCTTAATTTGTAGCAATTTCCTTTTTCATTTCCATTCACGTTTCAAAGCAGCTATTTCTGCTGATGACCCGGTGTCATCTTATGTTGAGTTACTGCAGATAAATGCATTTAAAAGCCTCCAACATTGACAGAAGCTCTGAGACTTCAGCTTGTAACCACTGCCAAACAGCAATGCTTGATTATTTATCATGCTCATCAACTGAATATTTGATAAGTACTGAGTTTAGCGTGAATATTAGTTCTTAGATGCTATTACAGTTTTTTTCAATTGTTTACACACATTTTCAGAAAGCATGCCTCATACTCTCAGAACTCTACACACTAGTTTAAAAACCACACACACAATGGGCAAAACCCCTCAGTTCTCCTTCAAAATGACATTTTACATTCAAAACAATGTTTTCTCTTCTCAAAATGATGTTTTGTTCTCAGATGACACACACAAACTATCATATGAATAGACATTTATAAGAACCAGTTACACACTGATGTAATCTATGTAAAACACTTCTATCCCATCATCATAATGACAGGCCCTTTTTTGTTCAGTGTTACACTTAGTACAGATAGTACATACATCAGTGTGTTGAAAAATATTTTAGAAAATATTTTTACACTCAGAACACACGAATAAATGGTAACATATTTATACATATATGTATATAGAATAATTTATACATTGTTGAGATTATGCATCAATTGTGGAGTATATTGAATACTTGCACACAGTTATATCACAATTCTTTGATTCTTTCTGAATTGTTTTCAAATGGCAGCCTGTATACCTGATTCATCCTCAGCTTATTTCTGCTCAAAACATGGTACAGTGTTTATAAGATTACCTTATTGATATTTTGAAATATCTAAATATTTTCTATTA